CGCATTATCTTTGCGTCCGCGGCTTCTCTGTGCGGTGCCGAGTTGCAGTCCTTTAACGCTGTTGGTAATCTAAAAAAAAACCAAAAAAAAACGTTCCCCGTTGCTTGGATTAAATAAAATTAGGTAGATAGATATTTTTATTTTTTTAGGTGGAGGTAGTGGGGGGTCGATGAGCAAACTAGAGCATTGCACGGTCCCGGGCCAGCCCGCAGGCCCGAGCCCGGCCCGTCCTGCGGTCGAAATTGTTGACAACAAAAAGTGTGCTCATTGATCTTTTAGGTTCAATGTTCAATGAAAACAAACAAGCGAAACGCAAAATCACTACGGCGACGTTAAAAATATACATATATTATTTGGAGTGTTTTTACGTGGATAAAAGGAAACGTATGATTCCACCAGCATAGTGGGGAAGTGCGGTCAAAGAAAACGGGGGCACACCATGAGTGTCTTTTTCCTCTGCTTTTCAAACCGAAAAAAAAAGAAGAAAAAAACGTGAGCTTGATTTTGTACTTTGTGCAGGGAGCCCTACTATGCCACCAAAGATACGTTAACTATAAATAATTCTATCCTTATACAGCCTTTTGAAGATGCACTAGCGTGATTCTGGTTGTTTCTTCACAAAAGCATGTAGAGAGAAAAATTCTCTGTGAAACGAATTGAACTACGAAAAGTCGAATATATCTTCAAGAAATGCATAAATGAAATAATTGGCCACTTTTGTTTTTCTCAAAATCACTTAAATCACTCACTTCGGACACATTAAAAAAATTACATCGTCAAAGTCAGGATATTTATCGAGTCAAAAAAAGCTCGGTCCAATAAAAAAAAAAAAAAATTTGAATCAAATATGCTTGTTTTATGCTTAAATCGTTTTTAGGTTAAAGCCTGCAAACTTTCTCGGGCTTATGTATATAATCTTTCAGGCTCAAGCCGGAATTAAGCCTATGCTTTAAAAAAAAGAAAAAAATGTCGGGCTCGGGCCGGGTTCAAGCTTCTGTCTAAAAATTCTGCCAGGCCTGGTCCGGGCCCGGGGAGTGTCTCTTCCGGGCCGGGCCTTGAAATTCCGGCCCGTGCAGTGCTCTAGAACAAGCTGCGTTCTTTACGTGTCATCTAATCTTCACTGCGCAGCAGTGGTGTACTGCACCGTAAACATCTCCACGCTGCACGCCCGGAGTTGGGCGCGCGGGTGCTTAATGCAAATACAAGAGGCAGCAGAGAGGAAGAAATCTAGCCATACCCAGTAGGCGAACTCTGGGCTACGCGCAGGACAGGGTCGTCTTGCGAAACAGCGTCTCAGCGAAGAGTGTGGGAAAGGAAACCTGACAATCTTGAAGCGCGCGAGCTCTTAAAATTAGACCTCAAGTGCCTTTTTGCTCATGCACTAGCTATGGCGACGCTATCTTTCACACAGCCTTAACTATAGTCGGTGACAGATCAAAAGTAAAGTGGAAGCTCCTCCCACCTCTTTCCACTTTAGCAGAGCGAGCGCTGGGGAGGACGCTACCTCCTCTCCAGCGTTCGCTCTTCTAAAGTGCAAGGGGGGGGGGGGAGTAGTTTCCCCTTACTTTTGAACCTGTCACCGACTATAAGGCTGCGTTTCTAGAAAGCCGACCCAGGGCAATCACGATTAATGTCACTCAACTGTCTTCGCATTACAACGCGACATATGCACGGTTCGAATAATCTAGAACGAGGGAGAGCTACGTTCTGCAGACGACGGACTGCGTGATCACTTTTGCATACAATCTGTCTGCTGTCCTCTCTCTTTGCTCTCCTAGCTGTCACACGCACACGCACACACACACTCCAAGCGGACACACACAAACACACACACACACACACAAAACAGATACACGCGCACGCCCCTCGCCCCGTGCCAAGAAAAGACACGGTGCGAGTCATGCCAGCACTGGGTGTGTGGGGCACCCGGAACTTTCTCAGCCGTGTCATCTGGTGGCGGAAATAATGCAGGCGCTGAAACACTCATTAGCAACCGGCTGTGCGATGACCGCGGGAGCGGCTTGTTCTGGCTGCTGTAACACGTCGTTCGTTAACTGCCGCACCTCGGCCATGCCAGGCACGGCCGCCGAAAGCCAAAGGACGCTCTCGCCTCTTCTCCTTTACGAAAAATGCGTTTCCGCTCAGGGGAAAAAAAGAAAGAAGGAAACGCCGCAAGAAAGAGCGCTACATTCGTGCACTCCAACTCGGCAGAGGCGGTATTCGTCTGATTGTTGCATTGTTGTGAACCCGGAGGCTTCGTCGGAAAGTATCCTACTCCAAACGTCTTTTCGCCCCTACTAAGTGGCAGTCTAATGAGGAAAGTGTACTGCCGTCCAGAGGCCATGGCGAAGATCAAAGCCGTAGCGTACGTAATTTAGTGATGATGTTTGGGAAGTTTCTCGCCCTATGGTGTGCTGTATACACGGTTTGTGCCTCATTAATGACTGCCCATGCACCTGAAGTACCTCACAAAGCGAATTACTCGTTCTCGCGACTTCCACTATAGAGCCAGTGAATAAAAACAAGGTGCATGAACATTCATTGGCACGATTGTCTCCTATAACAGACTTGGCGGTCGGGCTTTCCATAAAAAACCCGACCCTGACGGTACGCCGCAGCCCTGACGTCACGCCGCAGGGTGGCGCTGTTGTCGGCATGGCGCACGCGCAATGCCCACTCCCGGTGTGGGCAAACGCTGACTTGTTGGTAAACAGCGTGACGGTCTAGAGCCTCTCTTGTTTGAACTGCCTTTAGTAATAGATGGGTTTGAGGTATCATAAAGGTACTCTCCTTATAACCGAGCTCTATCGCCTCAGCCGCAGTGCTTTCAAACACATTCGCCACAAAAATTTGCATGTCGCGACGGTTACTTTATCAACCGCCGCTATTTGGAGACCTATAGTATTATTGGCGGCATTGCACTAGTTGATAAACGAGCGACCGCAAGCAATAATCGTATACTGCAAAACTGTCATGACTATCACCATGCATGACGGATGGTGTATGTATGCCGGTAGGACGACACAGTGCCTGCGCGAACGTGCAACCTCTTTCGAACGTAAGTGGAAGTAGGCTGTATGGTTACACGATTGAATATCCCGCTCGGTCGTCAAAGTACCCTCGTAGATATGGCACTAACGTTTGAGAAATGGGCAATCAACAAGGTCTCTTTGTCGTTACTAGCATATCAATGTTAGGTCAGGAAGCTCAAGCTCGGCTCCATTTGAAAAACAATAAGTTTCTAAATTGTTTGAAATTGTAAGCTTTTGTTTCACTTTATAGAGTCCTTAGCAACCGTAAGTTGGTACATACTCGAGAGATCTCTGTTCGCGGTCGAAATCTTTCGGATCTGTTGTTCTCACAATTCACTTGTTTTTGTAAGAACAAACCGAATTTCGTGTTGGGCTTTATAGGAAGTATTCACTGGCGGCCATAGCTGTGTGCGCGACTGCATGAGCGCGTGCTGATGGCTAGCTTCCAGGGTTCTTTTGCAACGTGCATTCCACACCGTCAAAATAACCCGTCTTAGCAGCCTATTAATGGGGGCTCGGTCAGAGCATGCGCTCTAGACAGCACCCACAAATATGGCGCCCAGTGAATACTCCTTATATGGGCACTCACAACCAGTTTCGTCTGAAAAATGAGAACTTTCCCACGCTTCAATCGAACATAGATAACGGGCCTTGTTGGTGAAAAACTACTTCTAGTAAAAAAAAAAAAAAAAAGTGCATTGTCCGCTATTCTATTCCAGCCAGTACTTTACTTGTTTTGTTAGCAAAGTCCTCGGGTCCACTTTCCCACTTGGCACACAGAAAGCTAGTCATACCAATTAATGGAAAGTGAGAAGTGAATGGCGGGGCCCCGATGAAGTTGGGGTTCAAAAATGGATCCGCCCTACGTTGATGGACACGTGAAGGGCGTCTCCGACTCGCCATTCTTCGACGTCTAGTGAACTCCGAGCGTGCACAGGCTGCCAAAGCGCGGCAGAGCGTAACCTGCTGGAGTCCCGGAATCTACAGGAGACGCCCAGGCGTTCTCCTTCTAAAGAGTCACCGTGATCGGCTTTCCAGATCTGGCCATACACTCACTGGGACGTCTTTAGTAAGATTATGCTTTCATCGACAGCAATAAGAGATTCTCAGACGGCCAACTTTTAAGAATGCGATGATCCCACACTTCCTCCGTGCTTTTCACAAGCACGGCGGAACTTGTTCGGAACTGATGGTATAGCCATGGGAGCACAACTCGTCACGTCGCGGGGAGCCAAATCCTGGTTGTGACGCCACCGAAGAATCTCGGCGAGCTGGCTTCTCCCCTTTACATCACCACCTAAAGGGCTGCCATCAAAGAAGCGGTCGCCGAGCTGTAGAGTTTTGATGTGGACAAAACGTGCTTCCGGCTTCATACACGGTTCCGGTCGTGCATTCAGAATTTTATATCAACTTTGTAGAGCACTGCAAACGACACATGCAGTGTCTATTGATTATATATCAGTTTTAACAGCCAGGGTTATTCACTCTAGTATTCCATTAAGACTTTCACAACAATAGATAGAGAGAGAGCGAGAGAGTGAAGGCCTGCGAAAGAGAAAATACTGACGTAAAAAAGGCCAGGCGAATACAAAAAAAAAATTATTTATTTAAGGAAATTATACATGCATGGTGCGCGCACGGGTTAACCTCACAAGACGCCGAGGCGTCGTCGAGTGCACGGAGGCTCGCGCTAGAGGCGGGACAAGTGGAAGACCTCCCTGCTGTTCTCATAGTGTTAGTTATTAAGATCAGGCATGGCTCATAGCTTAAGCAAACGCTTAGAGTATGGCGTTTGGCGTAATCGCTCTCGACAACCCATCATTCATGGCCAGATAACCCGAAATCGACTGAAGTGAGTTTGCGGCCAGCCTCACGTAACTAAATGCAAGCCGGCTAACTACGAGGGCATGAAGCTACGTATACTCCGGTGAAGGACGCATATTTAGCGTCGTGCAACGAGAGCGCGGAATGGGGGTGCCGATAAAGCGGTACCAAGGTGTGTAAGGGACGAGCAAGGCAGTCATTTAGAATCGTTTCCTTGTGCGCAAATTAACGTTAAGCGCCCGTATCTTGTACCGCTTGGGCGGGCGCAGGCAGCGGCGGGAACTCGAGCAGAGAAGGCGCTCTCGCGTTGTTGTTCCTTCTTTGTTTGTCGCCCGAGTGTCCAGAAAGAGCGCGCCTGGAGCGGAATCCCGTTTGGCGCGACACTTGTTCTGAGTTCGTCAAGTTCGTCGTTCGACAACATTTTCACATTTTTCGTGTTACATTGAGAACTTAAAGTTTATTAAAGTATTAAAGGAAAAAATAGTTTTTTAAAAATTATTTGTACTGAGGCGAGGACGGGAATAGTACAATATGAAGCGTTAGTAAAATTTATCGGTTACAACTTTCCTTTGGAACGTTTAGCGAGACCTTGTCGAACATTTTCATTATATTAGCGTTTCAGTTAGATACATTCAGATACATTCACGCGTTCAGGTACATTCACGAAATTCAGGGCTGGTGGCTCAATACTCACCATAAATTTTTATCAGTAATTTTAACGCATATCCTCGCTTGTACGCATGCATTACCTTTCTTTTTTTTTTTTTTTTTTTTACTTATTGTTATATCCGAGGCTCATATAGACGTAAAGAACGGATTTATTTAAGTCCGAATGAAGTGAAAATTAATGTTATTGACTAAACTTAACCCTTAGTATTTAGGGTTTCTCGGCTGCATGGAATGACCCGTGACCTCTGATTTGTCTGCATTGAGACGCATGCCGTGACAACTAATCCGCCCTCCCCCCGGGACTGTACTTGGTTTTGTTCTAACTTCTAAGTTTACGAACGCAATGAAATCGTTGAAAAAGTAAAGTGTGATTTAGAAGTGAAGAGCGTGCGAGTTGAGTGGCGCTCAAGATGTGCGAGCGAGCGCATGGCCACCCGTAGCTTTGATTGCATTGCGACAGAACGTCGTCCCCGAGTACAGCTCTTGCTCGAGTGTTTGAAAGTTTCTCGTAACACGATTCCTGCAGGCAAGGTGACCTTCGAGAAGCTGACCAACCTGGACTTTGCGGGCAGCGCGTACTACACGATCCGCAACCTGTCGCTCTACGAGTGTCAGGGCTGGTGCCGGGACGAGAAGGACTGCGCGGCGGCCGCCTTCAGCTTCGTCCTGAACCCGTTGTCGCCGCAGCAGGAGACCACCTGCACGCTGCAGAACAGCACGCAGGCCCGGAAGCCCACCGCCCGGCCCCAGAAAGCCGTCAACCTCTACTACCTCGTCAAGAACCACATACGCTCGGGTGAGACGCGGGCCCCCGAAAAGAAATTGCCACCCTTCGCGTACAGGAGGTATCCTCGAGTTGCCTTGAACTCCGACCGCGCAGTCAACGGAGCAACGGTTAAAGTGCATCGTCAAGGCACTCGTCGTCTTTGCATGTCTGCTAGCATCGGATATACCTACAGGATAAAGAGCAGGATCATGCCAGATTTACTGTGCGTGATTGCTTGAGCCGGTAATAGGAAACACACGCACACACAAAAATGAGGATGATGCAATTTTAGCTCTACTGATTGGCTTCATAATATCGCATCGTCGGCTGCTATCGGACGTAAATTGAAGCGGAGTAGGAGAAAAAGTGCAAATAATACTTGTGTCATGTGTACGCTTAGACAGTGAGAGGTTATCACTTAGAAGAAATCCGGTGCGTCTGCTTTCCAGCAACGCACCTGGAAGAGCTAATCGCTGCAATCTACAGAGGGACGAGCTCGGCGAATGGCGAGGCTGAAAATATGCATGGCCTTCTGCGGAGGTGATTGCATGTCTAAGTTTGAGCCCATGTCGTTACCGGGATCCTGAGATGAAAGAAAAAGGCGAACTTTTCCGGCACGTCACTTGCTTGGGTCATGCTCGGTGCTATAACGCTGACTGTTTTTAGGTCCAAACATTATTTGATCCTCGCCATTCGTCGAGCTCCCTTTGTGGATTGCGGCGATTGGCTCTTCCAAGTGCGTTGCGGGCAAGTATAGACGTACTGGATTTTAACGCAGGATGTGTTTATAGGCTGGATTTCATGAAGAAGTGTAACGCTTGAGTGCGACAAAAAAGCGTTATACGCGGGTCGAGGCAACATAAAGAATGCATAGCCCGTTGCGTGCAAGGCGTAAGCATCCGAAGCATATATAGAAGTCATAATTAGTCCTAGTAATTCGTACACGATCGTGGAACACAGGATCGAAACTAGAGAGATTCACCAAGAAACTCAGCGGGAATCGAACCCCGGACCGTGGGATCCGCTGTCCAACATCTTTGATCGGCGCCGCGAGCAGGTGATGAACGACAGGGCAAGCGACCAAAATGTGACTTGCCGCCGACGGTCGCCTAAAGAGCACGCGACTGTCCGCGGCGAGGGATATTGCGTTGAACATACCTTCTGCGAGCGGCCATCGGAGGCGCGTTACACCTCGTCCAGCATACCTGGTCCTCAGGAGACCGAGGCGGAGAGTCCAGCACAGGTGACTGTCGGCACTGAGTCACATTTAGTATTGCGCGTACTCAGTTCACAGGCGATCGACAGCGGGGAGTCACACTTCAGTCTGATCATGGCTATGACCTCATTCGCGTGCACGGTGCGATTTTGCTAGCGATTTCGCAGTTCCGATATCCCTCATGCGGCAAAAAGAGCGTGGTGGAGGTTGCCGCGCAGGCTCAAGGCCGTAACTGCCAAATTGAAAAAAATTTAAAAAAAAATATCGCACCATGTGAATTAGGGTTTAGTCCAACATAATTATGCTTAAATTCAATCAAAGCCGAGGCTACGGTCGGATGAAGCTAATCAAGCACTGTCAAAAATAAATCGTTACAACGCTCTTTGTGTGTGTGTGTGTGTGTGGAAGGGGGGGGGGGGGGGGTTAGCCACCGGCTAAATTAATCACGCAGACAAAAAAAAGAAAGAAACAAAAACAAACATGACCACGCTGCCTTCATTGTGTCTGATTGGTTTAGTCGGCGGTAACAAACATACGAAGACGATTAGCGACGTGACTGTGCACTTCTGGCGCTGTTTGATCGTCTCCATCGAACCGGCTGCGGTCGGAGTTTTATTGAAACGAAGTATTAGCGACGTGCGCGACCAAAAGCGTCGCTGTGGTCGCCATTCGCGATCGGCCAAACCATAGTTTCCTGTATGCTGATAATGGCCGCCCAATTGCCGGTTCACGGCGAGGAAAATCCTACCATTCATAGAAAACTTCCATGAAAAACCATTAAAAAAACCTCCTCGTGACACTCTGCTCCCCAATAAATGTAAACTTGTCTCGGTCATTCCGATGAGTCCTGAGATGAAAAAAGTGGCTCGGGTGCGGTCTTTCCAACCCAGCTTAGCAAATCATAACGCACGCATAATACACGCACGGCGGATTCTGTGCTTCCCAGGAAATTAACCGGAATGCTCGAGGAAAGTTAGTTGAGTTCTTTTATCGATTGGATAGTTCAGCCCCAGTGGGCGTCTGGTATCTCCGTTGCAGATGAGAAATTGAGTCGGTGCAGTCTCCCGCTGCTAGCCTGCACGTCTTTAACGTGCAACACGCAGTATACAGAACCGCACGCCTGTACGACGCTCGTTCAGATCGAAACGGTTTCTTATTACAGTCGAACGTTCCTTTTCGGAGTGGTTTATAGAACGCCAAACGCACCAGTAGAATTTTTGGAGGGCTTGAATGAGTTTTTGTGCAAATATGTAAATGATACTACCAAGGTAATCATGACTGGAGATTTTAATTTGCCCCATGTAAATTGGGCTCTTTTGACAGCTGGTGGCATTGATATCCTTAACGGAGAAAAAATAATTGACATAACGTTTAATCACAACCTTACCCAAATAGTCAAGGAATACACTAGAATCACCGACCAGTCTCAGTCAACATTAGACCTTGTCTTTATTACAGAAAACATATCGGATTACGAGATTTCAATTGTAGAAGGAATTTCAGACCATAAAATGATTTTGTTTACGATTCCACTACCACGACAGGGTCATTGCAGGGTTGCTAGGCCCCTAATTGTTAAAGACTTTACTCGCGCAGACGATACAAGTATTATAGATTACTTAGAGACATCCTTAGAAACATTAGACCAACTAAGCATTACAAGTACAGTAGATGATCTGTGGAATTTTTTTAAAACTACTACTTCCTTTTGCATTAATTCCTTTGTTCCCAATAAAACTAAAAAGACATATCGCACAAATCCCTGGATAACGCGTGAAATTATCCACCTAAAACGTCAAATCAAAAGGCACAGAAAAGGATTTAAAGAACATATAAATGCTCTAAAAATTAAATTAAAAACATCACTCAAACAAGCCAAAGAGAGATTCTTTTCAGTGACTCTTCACAACTTTATAAAAACTGCCCCTCAGAAATTCTGGCGTTTCTTAAGAGGAAAGAGGGAAATGATCGAGCAGATTGTTGAAAACGATGTGGTCATTACTGACAGTGCAGAAATGGCAGATCGGTTTAACGTGTTTTTCCAATCAGTGTTTTCAGCCCACGACGTACAAAATCTCGATGAGGCCTTTCATTCTGATATTGAAACGAGTACGCCAGAAATAGAGATAAGCCAGTCCGGAATATTTGCTAAGCTATTGTCACTGGATACAAAAAAATCAACAGGCCCGGATAAAATACCGAATGAATTCTTAAAGCGATATGCAGAGTGGCTATCTTTTTATTTAAAAATTATCTTCGACAAATCATTACAAACGGAGTCACTCCCACAAGATTGGCTATCCGCACGTGTCGTCCCTGTGTTTAAAGGAGGAAGCCGCTTTACGATAGAAAACTACCGGCCTATTTCATTGACCAGCGTTTGCTGTAAAGTGATGGAGCACGTCATTTCAAAATATATATTTACTTTTTTAGAGGAGCGAAAGACGTTATACTCTCATCAGCATGGCTTTCGAAATGGTTTGTCAACCGTAACGCAGCTTGTTGAAACGTTTCATGATTTTTCTTTATCTGTAAATAATAAGGAACAGATCGATGTAATTTGTATAGACTTTTCAAAAGCATTCGACCGCATACCTCACAAAAAATTATTATTCAAATTAAAAAAGATAGGGTTGTGTGATAAAATCGTTAACTGGATAGAAGCATACCTGTCAAATCGGAGTCAAAAAGTTGAGATAAATGGAAACATATCACCACCTCTATCTGTAACCTCAGGAGTCCCGCAGGGCTCAGTCTTAGGTCCATTATTGTTTTTGATATATATAAATGATATAGCTACGCATATTGCAGAACCAGTAAAACTAAAACTTTTTGCAGATGATTGCCTTCTTTACTCTGTCATAAACAATACTAATGATCAATTAGCTCTTAATAGGAACCTGGAAAATCTAAGGCAATGGTGTGAGGACTGGCAAATGCAAATAAATTTTCGTAAGTCGACATATATCCATATAACGAACAAAAAAAGCGTTTTGAAATTTTGTTATAATATAGGCAATGTTAATTTGAGTGTTGTAAACAGTTTTAAGTACCTTGGTGTGGTGATCTCACACGATTTGCAATGGCGCACCCATATAGATAATGTCTACTCCTGTGCCTATCGAAGTTTGTGCTTTCTTAAACGAAAGTTAAAACATGCAACTAGTAATGCCAAAATCACAGCTTATAAGACAATGATCCGTCCTATTTTAGAGTACGCCAGCATTGTATGGAGTCCAAACAAAAAAGTAGACATCAATAGACTAGAAAAAATTCAAAGGCAGGCTGCACGTTTCATTCTTAATAAATACAAACGAACAGACTCTGTGACTGAAATGCTTAGCCAGTGTGGACTTCAATCATTAGAAACTAGACGGAGAATAGCGCGGCTAAAGTTCTTATTTGCGTTGTATAACAATCACTTAAACATTGAACCTGAACTATATTTAAATGAAACACATAAACGATCGCGCAGATTAAATCACAATAAAACAATCCAACCGTATAATAGTAGGATAGACGTTTTTAAATATTCATTCTTTGTGCAAACAATTGAAGACTGGAACCAACTTCCAGATTATGTCATTAATTCTGTAAATATGTCCCAATTCGAGTCTTCTTTAGAAAAGATATTTACCCAGCAATAAATAAGAAGGGCGTTTTTCCTTTTTTTCTATTTCACTTCTTTTTACAAAGTGTGGCGATATGGTTCACGTTGTCTTCAATTAAAAATTGTATAACAGTCTTCTATTACGTACATATGTATAGAGTTCAAATTTTTGATATGACTATATATATTGTTGTTACCTCTCCTGTAATAGCCTTCAAGTGAAGGCTGACAGTATTCTTAAATAAAAAAAAAATAATAATAAAAAATAAAATAAACGGGCAGGACCCGGGTGGTGGGGATTGAGCGCAGGAGCTGGTAAAAGACCTTTCGCTAAGTCTACCTTTTTCGAACTTACAGAGGTCTTAGAGTGACAACAAATTGACGTTGGCCGTTTCAACTCTTAATGGAGTTTTATATCGCGCGAATATTCGCCGTACCAGCGATTTCCGAAAAAAAGGTGAATAGACCGATCTTACTAAGCGTTCCACGCATGCTTAACGCCGCCATAACTGTAGTTCGCAAGAGCTACCCGCCCGTGCACGAGACAGCTCGTGCCGCCTCGTGCTCTTCTCGCGCAGACCTTAAGCGTGGTTGTCGCGCAAGCAGAAAGACCACAGTTCCCACGATGCAAGGCGACAGAGGTGGCGTACTCAAAGCAGCTTGTGAGATTGGTCTAGCACAGGGGTCTCCAAACCCCGGCCCGCGGGCCACATCCGGCCCGCGGAGGTTTTCCGACCGGCCCGTGGCTGGCTGCAGTCCTCTCAATGGAGCCCGGCCCATGGCCCACTTCCAGCACGCCCACTGCTACTGGCGAAAAAATAAGCGCGTGTAAAACGGCGCCGCGGCGCGCACCAACCGTGTAAACGAAGATACCGGAAAAAAAAAAAAAGAGAGAGAACCGCTTATCGTAGGGCGTGTCCTCTGGTCAAATTAGTAATTGGACATTGTCATTAGCAGAATCCACACTCCTAATGCCCTGTTCCATATCTGGGTAACTAAGTACGTTGAAATTAATTTACGTCCCTATGTATGTGGCTATTAAATATTGTCAGCATAACTTCTATCGTTCTCACTAGTCTTTTGCCCTGTGTGAACTCGCCAAAGTTCCTATGCGCTCTGGTTTATGCTGGTATGTTTTCTGGGCTCCAATTATGATGTGATAAGCAGCTAAATGATTAAATTTCATAACAAAGTGAATGCATTCATCCACCTTAGAATCTTGTTGTTTCATGTTTACTCTAACTTTAAATATTGTATAGATAAATGCTTAGATACCTAGGATTATTTATTTAGATCTTCCTCATTTACATCTGCCCATTTATATTTCCGGCCCTCGAGACAGAGACAGAGCCTCGATCCGGCCCCTTAGCCAAAAAGTTTGGAGACCCCTGGTCTGGCATGCTGCAGGTGTGGTTACACGCGTTGTACGTGCTGGCGTATGCAACAAAAATGAACAAAAGCAAAAAAAAAAAAAATGCTTTCTTTTTAACAAAATGGCATTTAGCACGTGCGTTTGTCAACGATAGAAACGCTCGCTTTATTTTGGTTATCTACTTCGTACTTTTTATAAAAGAGGCGAGCGCGCGTGCAGCGCGTTTACCTGCCATTCCCAGTATTCCCCTTCATGCTTCGGTAATTTGGTACAAGGTAGCTAATTTTGATAGTATAGTGTCATGCCCACTTGAACCGTCCTGTTTCTACTACAAAATAAATAAAAAAAAAAAAAAAAAACTTCCCGAGATTTTTTTTTAGTTAGTGAGGCGATATTTTGCGCAAATACCTCTACCGGTTCGGCACGCTTCGGCCACCAACCGTTGCGATCTATTAGAGAAGACTAAGAAAGGAGGAAACGCAACCCTTTCCTCAAACGCGGAAGTGCGCAGTAGCGAAGAGCCGCACGTTTCACGTGCTCATCGTCTTCCCCCTTGGGAGATTTGTGGATCGAAATATCGCACGAGCTCGTCTCACTTCCGGAGTGTTTCAGATCCAGAATACTGCGGTGGTGCGCTTTAGTGTCACAATCACACTGCTCAATACACGTTGTTCGCTGCTGACATGATGAGAGATTTATCCGCGAACGCGCTTCACGCCATGTTCGAATCATGTTTGTTTCGTACATTTGCATGCATCGAACACGCCTGCAGGCAGTTTTTGGTGTGACCAATGTGACGATGCGGTCATTCAAGAAAGGACCACGCCAAAGACAGTGTCTGAAGGCTGTCTTTTGTATGACGCATTAGCACTGTGAGAGCGGCTTTAAACTTGGTCCGCCAAGAGGTAAGATGCAGTAATGTTTGGGTAGGTCATTTAAAAAAAAAAAGACAAGATTGGTCATTTTAATCAATAATGAGCGAGCAACGACACTATACATGATTTTTCGCACCAAAAGTTTAACATTTGGTGAACACGTCACGTCGGAGTCAGTGTTCCACTCCTTATGATATACGTATACATTTTTTTTTATTCTTTGTCATGACTGGACATACAAGGCTCGCGCGACTCTAAAATAAAAAAAAAAAAAGAAACAGGCTCAGGAATTTGTTCTCGGTAATCTAAATGATATGAGCTGATACGCTTACAATCTAAGGTGGCATGTTAAACGTTTTTGCCCATATTTTAGTTTTAGGCACAAAGCGTTATCCGGATCCTAAACTTCGATAGAATCCCTCTTTAAATAGAAATGATTGACTCACTCTTTTTTTTTTTGTCAATGTGCGTCATACACGAATTTATTTAGCAGAATAACGGCTGTGAGCGACGTATTTTAAGGAAACCAGTATCCGCCATATATGTTTTTGCAGTTCAGTTTCTGTTCCCACATCAGTGTCTTTTTGTCTAAGATATAAAATAATTTTAAAAAAAAACGAAACAACTGACGGTTAATTTGAACGACAACCTGTGCTTAATCAACTCATTATAAGGCGTCTTTATTTCTTTTATTGATGTTACGTTTGTGTGAGGTCACTTCTTGAGCGTATATACTCAATTGGTGGAAACAAGAACGTTAGGAACCCCCTTCAGAGATTCTCCCTTGAACTACTACATCATGTGCTCTCGCTCATACATATTTTTTTAAGTGCATACTCTACCTCAAGGTTTCAAATGTGCCTTGTGCTTGAATGTCTTAAAAAAAGTTGAAACATTCTAACTTTAACATCTAAAAAAAAAAAAAGTCCTATGCGGATATCTCTAAACTTGTAGGCGCCACCGACACTGTAGACTGTTGCAACATAAAAAAAAATAAAAAAATGCAGGATATTCCTCCTCCGATTTTCTAGGGGGCAGCGACATCACTACGTCACTCAATACGTATGCTATTTGTTTTAATCATTACCGTGGTTTAACATGTGACGATATTACAGTGAGCTACGCTAAAAACATCCTAATAATGAGAGTATGTGTTTTCTGATATAATTAAGGGACAAAAACGAAAACTTTGCTTGCCCTTTTACTCCGCAGTGATAGCACTGCTCTCGGCTAGGTGCATACGCAGACAATTTGTCTCACGCAAATCTGATTTCTGTGCGTGCTCATGGCTCACACCTGGGGCCCTAATCAACCTGGCGGGACCAAACGGGACCAAGCAACGCCTCCTAGATAAGAAAGCCTACAGTGTTGAATTTTTCTGCGTCACTAAAAAAGGCCATCGTTGGCCAAAAATTAGACGCGACTTTGGCCTCGTGCGTTCGGCCAGGAGTCGTGCTCCCGCTGATTAGACACGAGCTCCAGCCGAACGCTGACGCGGCCCTCGGGTCTAATCTCTGGCTCTAAACGTACTCAGCATAATTTATCTCTACGACGCCAGACTCAGCAGTGTGTGGTCTCGCGGATGTGCAGACAAGGTGTGCGACCGGCTGTGGTCCTTCGAGCGGTTCCCGAACCAGATGGTGCGGGGCCAGGACGCGGCGGTGCTCTTCACGGCTAGCAAGGACTCCTGCCTGGCGGCCTGCCTCAACGAGGACCGCTTCGTGTGCCGCTCGGCGGAGTTCAACTACGTCACGCTGCAGTGCCACCTGAGCGACGTCGACCGCCGCTACCCGGGCGTCCAGGACAAGTTCGGAGACGCCATCGGCGTCGACTACTTCGAGAACGCCTGCCTCGAAGGTACGGCTTGAGATGTCGGCGTCGCTATACTCCGTTCGCCCGAGACTGCATCCAAAGGTACAGCGCGAGCTAACCCACGTCCCTGGCTTCGAGACGTCCATTTCTAGCGCAAGCGCTTCTTCTGCGGAAGAACGCTTCAAGGCAGCGAGCTCGAGCTATCTTGCTTCTGGCATTGGCTTCAGTCTCAGCTGACTGCTCACACATCATACAAAAGACAGTCTGCAAACACGAGTCACTGCAATATCCGTGGTTCGAATGCCGCATGCCAAGTTTTCACCTTGAACTCATTGCCATACAGCATTCCATGCACGAATCTCGCCGTGACTCGCGTTCGAATCTGTATGCAGACCGTCTTTTGAATGATCTGTAAGCAGTGCAACCCCGGCTTAAGGGTGACAAGAGTATAGTGACAAAGAGAGTGTATGGGAAGTGTCAGCTTATGGTGTCCAGACACCGCAAGGACGGTAAGAATTGGTTACCATGCCGACGACTGCCATAAGAAGGTTGCCCCTTTCCCTGAACCCTTAGCCTGTCACCGACCATAGGAAACTCGATGCTGACCGTACGCCTTGCGTGCTTGTGCATAAGATTATTCTCTTTAATTTGATCAGAAAAAATGAAGTCTCGGATTGCCGTTTACTAAAAACAGGCACGAACGGGCGCCCATGTAGAGGCCTGGAAAACTGTGCTGTGGTCGAGTATGGTCATTTGATGATATCTGCTTTCATAAATAAACTCTAGCTTACATGAAGCTAAGTTCTAAATAAATTGAATAATTATATGCTGATAAATGAGCTCGTCTTTCCCAACGTTTTTATATGTGAGATTGCACTTGCCACATTCTGTTTTTTTTTTTTTTTTTTTTTTTTTTTTTCTACAGCAAACGAGGTGTGCTCCGGCATGCGGACGTACGATTTCGCGCAAGTCGGCGTGTCCCAGGAGATGGTCACTCACTACGTGGACCTCAACTTCTACCCGGATAAAGAACTGCTGGTGAGACTCACTCTTTTTGGCGCACACTTCGTGCAAATGGCCACGTATTTTTTTGTTTAGCAGAATTCGAATTATTTTAATATTACCACATCCGTGACTCTCAAAATACGCCGATATCGGGGCAAAAGTTGATGATAGATGAACACGCAGAAGAAGGAAAAAAAGAAACAGAACGTTTTCAATGTAATCGGGAATCTAAGAAAAATGAAATATGACGACATCGCAAACATACCGATACTAAGATTATATTTATCCAGTGCTAAAACCGTCCAGATCGCTTACACTTATTTATCAATTGTCTCTACTTAAATGGAAAGAAAGCAACATACATACAAAAAAACAAAAACAAAAAAAAAACAGAAAGAGACGCGTGTTATCCTTGTTGCCTTCTTACCCCCTCCCCCCCCCCCCCCTTTCTTTTTCCATTCCAGCTCCATTACGGAGAATTAAAGTTAGCGACAAATCCATTCAACTCATATACTTCCTGAGACTAGAAGCCCTGCCTTCAGCGCGAGCTCGCTGGCTTCCGCAGTGTTTTGGTTGCGCGTGCCTGCGCGTTCACACCTGTGTTAGCAAGCGCAGAAAGCTCGCGCCAAAGGCGGAGCTTCTAGGAAAAAATACACTGAGCCCATTACCACTCCTGGAGCGGCCTAGCTCCATTTCATTCCAATAATTCCTAAACTCGAACAAATTGCTCGTGACAGCCACATTTTGTTACCGGAAAAAGCAGTGGCTGGCGTCATTAAACACAGACAACTGCAAGCGTACGCAAAATGCTTCCCTTAGGGTGCCTTTATGTGCACTTTGCTGAGGATGGACATATCCGGCCATTTTGTCCCACACGTTTATTTTTATTTTTTGTTCAGAAGCGCGTGAAAGAGCGTGTCCCTGCACGCGTTTGTGGCGCGGACTCGACATTTTGTGTTCGTTGATTTCTTTGTATTTTCCCCGTGAGCGCGTGCTGTCGGCATTGGGTACTACAAAGGGTGGCATCACCCTAAGCAGGACATTGAGGCACCCTAGCTTCCCCAAAGCAATCATTCTACAATTCTACACAGCTGGGTGGTGTTCGCAAAAAGCGCTTCGTGGCACTTGGGTTCACTGCAGACATCGATCGCGCGATCAAGCGTACAAGGCTCGCAACAGACTCATTTTACTCGCAAAAAGACCATGCATATACCGTTTACAGATATATGGTCAGCGTGTTGTTTGTTTCCTAAAGCCTTATCTATATTCCGTTCCATACTTAGTCTACAACGTTGTCAAAGCTACTGGCGCGAGCGCGTGACTTCATCTATGGTTTCGTTTAAGCGAGAGCGCGTGCAAATGATCTGCGAGATGAAACCCGATGCTCGTGAGAGCAGCTTTGACAGCGTTGTACATTAAGTATAAAACAGAGTATAGTTCGAGAGGGGCGCAAGAAGTTACCTTGCTCTCTGCCTCGAATACTGCATATCAGCACCGCTATACTTCGGTTTTACTTTAAAGGGGCACTGACACCCCAAAGGTCGTATTTATTTTTATTGTCTAAAACGATGCAAGTTGCAGCCATAGACACGCAAAAAAAAACCGCATCGCGAAAAAAAAATTTCCCGCGCGCACGCGCGCCTTTTTATTTTTGGCGTTTGATTTTCCCGCCTCTCGCCTCCTCGCTTCTTTTGATCGGTGACGTCAAAAATCAGGAAATTTAGAAGCTTTGTAGGCGGCATCTTTATAACATTTAATGACGGCAATCCTAAAACATGTTTTTTAACGCAATTGCGAACGCACTACGGCCCTTCTTTTTGAAATACCAAAAATCGGGAGTTCGTTGTGGTGCCGTCTCCTGGATTTGTATCCTCCAACGGAAAACAGGCGACACCGCTCAAAACCGGTCCGCCGCAACGCCGGCGCTAGCCGGCGCTCGCTCCTTTCCTCCTCGCTTTGGGTCGCCATGGCAACAGCAGGGAGTGGTGACAGGAAAGGGGATCTTGGGTAAAACCAGCTGAACAAAGGAAGGAAAGTGACAAGGAGAAAAGATTGGCGAACCGACCGCTGGACTACCAACTGTTTTTTATTAAAACTTTCTCTTCTTCTATTAATTCATCTCCGATCATCCTTTTTCTTTTTCTTTCTCATTGCTCTTATCTTTGTTCAGCTGGTTTTACCCAAGATGTCTCAGAACCAACTAGCTCAGCTTTTACCCTTAGGAAAGGGGACTCTCAGGTCTCCGCAATTTTTGACGTCAAGGCACCGGCGCCGATCGCGCGGGAACTTCGAATTCGGCATTTGGAAATTGTTTTTTTACTTCACGAATACTGAATTCCCAAATTTCAAATTTTGAGGGTAATGTCCCGGCATCGTTTTCGACCGTTTCGGATAATAAAAAAAAATATGATTTTGATGTGTCAGTGCCCCTTTAAGTGCGAGCTAGGCCGAAGCTGCCAGAGGGAGCGTGTGGCCCTGAACAATGCTTGCACTGCACGAGCGCGCGTTCTTCGCAGGGACGCTAAAAGCCAGGAGCTCGCTCTTGTAGCTTCTATCGCTCGCACTTTTAAACGAGGCATTTATTACACGATATCAGGTGTGAGGCCGCGTGTATCTGCCCCAAGTATTCATACACTGCCGCAAGCTCACAAAACCGCTGACAAAGTTCAATCGCTGTGGTGCTAGCATGAGATACCGTAACACCAAACGTACACAGCTTTCCAAAAAAAGGGCTCATGGCAGGTTTCATTTTCAGTGTTCGTGCGCATGGCGCGTGATTTGCTCGCTTTCCGAAGCGACGAACACGCGCGTGTTGGGCTGAGGAGATCGCACGCCGAGCTGAGGACTTGTAAACATTGGAATAGTGTATAGGGAGTATTCACCGGACGCCATATTTGAGGGCGCTGTTTAGAGCGCATGCTCAGAACGAGCCCACATTAATAGGCTGCTAAGACCGGCAATCGTGGTGGTGCGAAATGCACGTTGCAAAAAAACTGTGGAAGCTCGCCACCGGCACGCGCTCAACATTCGTGCACACAACTATGGCCGCCAGTATATCTGATTTTCTATACAATTAAGCCGGGGTCACACTTCTCATGCATCATACAAAATACAGTCTGCAAACACGAGTCACAGCAATATCCGTGGTTCGAACGCCGCGCGCCATGTTTTCTCCTTGACCTCATTGCCATGCGGCATTCAAAGCACGTATCTCGCGGTGACACGCGTTCAAATCTCTATGCAGACTGTCTTTTGTACGATGAATGAGCAGTGTGGAGTCTGTGGACCCCGGCTTCACGTTTACTGTAAAATTGTGGCAATTTCTTACCCTATCCAATTCAATTCTTTATATATTCCTTTTTACGCAAACACCACAAGATATTCTGGATCAGAAATCTGCACGCTAACCGCGCGTGGTTACACAACATCCGCTTTATCCCGTCTCGCGGCATGCCAGAAACAACACCCCGTTCATCCTCAACTTTTTTTGAAGTTTGTTTGCTTCGCTGCGGGCGCACCACTTTCATCCTGGAAGGAGCGTGAGCCGTTGAGAACAATCAAGCCGTCAGTCACCTTCGTTGAAATTATGCCGTTTAAAAATCCACCTTAACAATCCGTCAACGTTGCGCCAGCAGGCCGTACGGCCTAGCTGAAGACTGACACAGCTCGCGGCGCGTAAGAACGGAGCCCCCCCCATTCCATGCCCACTCTATTCCGGGCAAAAAAGGTATACCCTAATTCCATTCTGAAAGGTCGCGAAAGTGCGTGCAGAATGTTTCCGGAATCATTCCGACTCCGCAGTGGCAACTCCGCCAAAACTGGCACTCACGCACTCTTCTTTTGTTTCTGACTTGTAAACTGCGTAGATCTGCGGAAGCCGAAGTGCATCGTGATGGCGCTCGTCGATCTTGGGACGTTTGCTATCGCCATCGGAACCAGTGACGCACAGTAGATCCAGCGTGACCCTGCATTTTTTTCCTGCGCGCGATAGGTTTAGCTGGTGATAAGCAAACGCACAAAGACGACGATCGGCGTGACGATGCACTTTTAGCGTTGCTCGATTGGCTCAATCGGACTGTGTACCGTTGACTGCGGTCAGACTTAATAGGGAGTTTTAGGGAACCGTTTTCGCACATTCGATACGGTGCGCTAAACCCCCGAGTACGAACCCACCGCAGGGGGAAGGCCCCTTTGGATGTGAAAAAACGGTTCCCTAGAACTCTCGAATGTAAAACGGAAATCAGACTTTTACGGTACTCATATTACATGTGATCAAATTACTCGTAGTGGATTACTTCTTGGAGTAATCTTGTAATCATGTTACTAATTTTATTAAAAACTAATCGCAACAGTAATCTGCTCACTTTTGAAAGTATTAAAATTAGTTATAACCGTTACTATTTTTCAGTGCACTTTCTAATGGCGCCATACATGTTCGTAGAAGTTTCTTACCAAGAAATCGTCCAACCAAGTCTCCCGCAGGAGGATGGTCTGCCGAAAATGGTGGATTAGGAAGATAGGTCGTTTGTAATTCGGTGATTTTAATCTAAAAAAAAAGGGCAGTACCAAAGACCCGTTTTCAAACAGGAATTTGTCGTTCTGACAATCGGAAGTAATCAGAAAAATAACAGTAACTTCCCCAAGTAACGGCCAATTATATTTCTTCTCAAGCATTCGGGTAATCTAATTGAATACATTTTTTTTAACCAAGAGAAATCGTAATTGTAATCGGTTACTTTTTTTTTTTCGTTCAACGTGTACAAGACTCAACGGAGTATAGTACATAAGTATAGCACACACAAATACGTATTTGTTGATAAGGATCTCCTTTTGTTGTTGTTTTATTTGTTGATAAGCTCTCAGGAATTTTGCATTACACTTGCGATTGGACGTGCTAACCTAGCGTAACAACAGTGGTTATACGATCATCGAAATTTCCCATGGGAAACCAGCGAAAAAACATTATTATTATTTTTGTTTAATGCTGGAAACTTGGTGTTTGCTTCAGAAAGTGTAGTTTTTTTCCTTATCTTGAGTATACTTCTGGAGTATACTAGCTGGGTGTCAAGGAGGAAAATGTGCAACGAGAACAGCGCTACGCTTATCAATACAAGAAAAAGACGAATCAGTAATAGGCACAAAGAATAATAATAATAGGGGTTGTGTGAATATTTATACAGCGAGTAGTTGGTCAGCCAAAGAAGCAAACACGAGTCTGACAGAACCCGGAAAACCGCCCAAGGACAAAGAAAGAAAGAGACAGTTTCCCTGGCTGGAAAAAAACAAGACGGACTGCCGCTTAGAGGCTTTCAGCGGCCGCGTCCCCTTTCCCTCCCCGGTCCAGCTGTTACCAGCCCGAAGTATCACGAAAGAGTGTCCGAGCTGCCGACCATCTTCCGCAACAGGCAGGCGCGCAAGACCGGAACCGACAGACCACGGCATTTCCGGATTGACCATGCGTCGCTAGACCGCAGGACAACGGACGTTCCTGACCGTCAGGGCCTGCTGGACAAAGACGTTGTTTCCACCAGGCCTAACTCCTCGCGGCCGTGACAGGTGGTGTCGTCAAGATCGCCGCTCCAGTTCACCGCACTTTTTTTCTCCCCCTTCTTCTACTTCTGTGACCCACGAGCGCTGTGCACAAGACAGTGCCTACTGTGCAGTGTTGTACAAGTTCCTCCAAAACTGAAGAAAACTTCGTTTCGCGTTCCTTCTCAATCTTGAAACGAGTTCCCCTTACAAGTTCCAGCGGTTCGAAAGGAACGCGTTCTCGTTACGTTTCAAAGATTTTAACGTGTCGTTTTAACTTGACCTTACGTTTGTGTGTTTTAATTAAATATTACGCGAGATAATCTGTAGATAAAATAAAACGAGCAACTGATAATATCCACATCGAACTGTGTCGTGTCGCTAGATCACATTTGTTCCAGTTCCTTGTTTCCGACTATTCCTGGGAATATCCTCTTGAAGTTGGAGGTTGCAATATCGTGGATAATAAAGCGTCTAAATGCCTACTAAATTCGAGTAAAATTGCAAATATATGATGGAAAAGAAAAAAATGCCTTCCTCTTGCTATTATTTCCGAAAACATAACGAAATTCCGTTCCAAGTTCCACCGATTGCAAGATGAAATGCGGCATTTCTTTGTGGCTCCCGTAACGAATGGAGAGGTCAAGGAAAGACTCCTCATTCCGTGAACCAAAATGGCGACCATACGGGGAGCTTGGCGCTACTTTCCAAAGGTCTAGTGACTTAGTTGAAGCTTCATGGCTTATGTGGCACGGCATGTGACATTATCAGAGTTCCTGCGTATGGCGCGTGCTGTGCTCGCTTTCCAAACCCCCGAACGCGCATGCGCGCTGGGCTGTGGATGAGGGAACTCTCCGTTAGTTCCCTCAGTCCGGACTATATATGGTGGTGATTTCTCGACTGCGTTCCCTCGTAGGCGATAAGTACTACACAAGACAGGGAATGCATTTGCCGTGGGCGCGGGGAGTCTAAGTTCAGAGACTGCCGACGTCCTTTGTGACGACGTTCTTCCTACCTCTGAGTGTCTGGTACCAGTTGACTCTTCACGGTCGGACGATCATGACGTGGCGTGATCCTGCGTGCGTTCATTCTTCCGCCTTATTCACATACGGGTGCTTGCACCGACGTTTCCAAATAAAGACATCGAAGTTAATGAGTCCACAGTCTAAGCTAAGACTATCCAGCGGCGTGGACAGGCAGTACCGGACGGAAGACTCCAAGGAGTGCTTCCGTTCCGCATGAGAAGCAAAGCGCTTGGACGGATTAGATGATGGCAGTAATGCTGGGTTAGCACGGAGTATATGGTTCAAGAAAATGTTTAATGATACAGGCGCGTTCCACACGACATGTCTTTATCTTTTTCTTCGTGTCATCATTAGATTTGATGGACTGCGTTACCCATCTCCTTTTGTGCGTATCACTCTTTTATGTCTGAGCACTACAGGTATAATTCCTTCCCCCTGGCAGTGAGCGATAGGCTTATAACCAGTGAAACCCCTCCATGCGGCGCATTAAGTCATTTTTGCATACATCAGCGTACGACATGAAGCGGGTGTCCACATCGACACTATATGGTTTCCTCTGGACGTCTTTCGAGTTCTTATGTGTTGCACGTGAATGAATTAACCTATAATTATTTTCCCTTTCTTTTTAAAGGATTTTAACTCAGTGGAGTATGATTTCTTCCTATACAACCTGTAACTTGTGTTGCTGGGTTCTGACGAACGTGTTTGCGATTGCGTGGAGGAGCCAGCCTAACTTTAACCGTGTGCTTTATTGAACTAATTCTCGGTCTCGTTTCACTAATTGAAACTTCGAAGAAAAATGATTTACTGATCAAAACGACGGCTTGGCCGAGTTGGTGGTGACGGTAGTGACGTATGTTTGTGTAACCCCTACTTGCGCTGTCATTTTTGGGGTTTACTGGAGTATCTCTATGATGTAAAGAGTAAGAATACAAAATATAAATTGTGCTCGGGGATAACTTTCTGTGGTAATTTAAATACTAAAACATATGAGCTTGCGCGTACCTTTGGCGGCGTGGCGTGGCGGCGTTGCCCCAGCAAGCTGTTTCAGGGTTTAGACACATTGGCCTCCCCATGAAGAAATCCGGTGACTCCTTCGTGCATAGCTAACAAAAACTAAATGCATTGTATCATTTATGTCATACAATGAGCATGAGAACCAAACAGGGGTTCTTTATAGGGTACTGCACAACAGCGTACGCAGTAAGATGACGTCTACTGTACCAAGATATACACATCAGACATCAACATATTATTCTTAATGTATCAGTGTAATCATGCATATAAATAAGTATTTTGTGAATATACCAATATTCTGTCACGTGACGTATATTTTCCCGCTAAATATAGCGGGGAAACGAAATGGTTATATAAGTCATGTGACGTCGATTTCCCCCGCTAAATTTAGCAGGAAAACTGGATTGGTGTCTAGGTCACTCGACGAAAATTTTCCCGCTAAATTTAGCGGGTAACTGAATTGGTGTATAGGTCATGTGACGTCGATTTCCCGCTAAATTTAGCGAGCAAATTGATTTGAGGTTTTGGCCACACGAATGGGAATTTTCCCGCTAAATTTAGCGGGGAAACTGAGTACGTATAGGTCACGTGCCGTCAATTTCCTCAAGGTGTAAAGCTCACGTGACGTCGGTTGACGCCACTTTCCCTGCTAAATTTAGCGGAAAATGCGCGGACGGACGGGCAGACAGACAATATTCTGGGATAGTGGAGAAGCGTTAAAAAGCATCTCATGCATTAATAATTGTTTTTCCGGCATATAGACGATTGGCTTAATATGTATGCGACCCATATTCAGGGTTAAGTAACCGCCCTATTTCAAATGACGATATGCTGTAGAAGATTGCATACGAACAGCAGTCAACGAATAAATTAGACACTGCGAAGTCCAGTATTATCTAACCGTAGAAATTCAGCCTCGTATAATAATATATACCAAGAACATCATAGTAGACGGCTCAGACTGCACTATTTATTTATTTACTTTATCAATACTGCTACCTCATTTTAGACTTTCAGTGGGGTGGTTACAAATACGAACTACCAATAAGTATACGCCATATGGGTTTACATGCATAAATAAATGCATGTAGGCCAATGTGTCCCATGCCCACGCAGGGTGTGGGATTACATTGATCTGCAAACTGTCCAACGCAACGGACCATTTCCTGGTCCGTACTCGTAAATTGAGTATACCGAAGAAGAGCACTCGACCGGGCGGCGAGGAACATACATGGGCGATTTTGGCTTAGTATCTTGAAACTAACCCCAGGTTCTCTCCATTGAACAGTGTGGATGCCGTTGTATGCCGTGTGCGATGCATGAAGAAGACACGCCTCGACGGCGCCGTGTTCTTCTGCTTCCTCCCACTGTCCGCTCTCTTCGCAGGTGAACAGCAAGTCGGAGTGCTTGCGCGCCTGCACGGTGGACAACGACTTCGTGTGCCGGTCGGTGCTGTACAAGCCGAACCAGGACGGGACGATGCAGGGAAGCTGCTCCGTCTTCCACGTCGACCACCTGATGCTGCCCGACGGGGCGAGCACCTTCGTGGGGCCCAGTCCCCCGCTGCCGCTCCTCGACACCGGAGAGACCAAAGGGATATACCTCGAGTCCCGCTGCACGAGTGAGCCCTCCTTCGTCACCGCCGCTTGTAGCCGTTAAACTTTACCTATCTTAATGGACTATGCGTCGAGTGTTGGCGGTCCGTACCCCGACAGTCTTGTGGGCACCGCCATTTTGGTGCACAGTGCAGAGCGCGGGGGACGATTTGAAAATGTAACTCCCTAAGAAAACTTGGACGATATTGTTTCGCTCTGTCGAGCGCTGTTTCAACATTTCTGGAGGATGGAAAATGCGTTTTCTGTGAGATCAAATAAGGTAAGGCCTCGCATGACTGGCAACCATAATTTTACGCTTTTAAGCACGAAGATGATTGAGCGTTATTTTGAAGCGTAGCGATTATTTAGTAGCTTTAGCTTTAACCCTCCAGCAGAGCACTTTTTTAAAAGAACAAGTGTGCCTGGCAAGCGAATGGAATGCGCATGGTTATACATGACGTTATTGTACCATGCTGGTGGTCATTCCCACTTGCTCCTGTCGCGAAAAACAAATTCGGTGGTGCGAGGTGCATGCCACAGAACTAAAGCATTAGTATTTAGCATTTAGTATTTATTGATACTACATCTCCGATTGGAGATTTCGCAGGGGTGGGTAACAAACAGTCATCACTGACAATACACTAAGAGAAAAATGAACATAAAAATCAACTATGCAGATTACAACATTCAAAATGTCAACACGTTCAGGTCTAGACAGAAAAGGAAATTTAACATCACGATACATATCAGGTTTGCACTGCAGAGTGGACGGAGTAACAAAGCAGAAAAATTCAAGAAAAATGACGCTAAAGCTCGTGTAGAAATAAGGCATATTCGGCTTGTATAACAACATCATTAGGCAGAGAATTCCAGTCATGTACTGTCCTTGGAAAAAAAGAAAATTTAAACGTGTCTACTCTACAAGTATGTTCAACAAGGGCCGTAACGTTCTGCGTTCTAGAGAGGTAGCGTGGAGGAGGGCGGAGACTAATGTAGCTATTCTCGTCTATATTAAAGCGGTCATGGGATAAATTAAACTAAATTTTAGCCTGTTAATTTTGCGACGAAGTTCCAGCGATCACGTAGAGTTTTGTTACGGAGTCAGTACGAGAGTACTTATTGTAAATAAAGCGTAAACTCTTTTTTTTTCACTTTTTCAATTGAATTATTGTTAGATGCTGTAAAAGGATCCCATACTATATCAGCGTATTCAAGAACTGATCTAACAAATGTTTTATACACTGATAACTTAACGGTGGATGATGCAGATTTCAGGTTCCTTCTTAAGTACCAAAGTTTATTTAATGCAAGGCGTGTGAGGGATCCTGGAAAAGTAGAGTCATTACGTTCTCTGCCTGATAGCAGGAAACCAAATCATTGCAAGGTGATTGGCTGATCGGGCTCGGTTGCCATGCCCCGCCCCCGCCCCGCCCCCGCCTCCCCCCTCCTCAATCGCCATTTCGGTTCATTCAAATCTTCGGAAGGGTCGTTCTTAACCAGTCGGGCCAAGATCGCTGCGGAGTATCATCGTACTGAGAGCGCTCCTCGTCAATATAAGCGTCTTTGTCACTGCGCATGCAATATCCTTATCAATCATGCTTATCTCCATCTCCTAAAATGGTATCGTTGTTCTTGCGTATTTACAGACAGGAGAACTTATTTATCGATGGCCACCAACCATTGACGCCGCATGTGGTGGCGGTGGAAAGATATACGCGCTCGTTTCGCCGGTGTGTGGCTAACCTCGGCATTCAAGTAATGTCCTTATAAAGCAGCTTGTCACCGGGAATTTGAATCGGCTCACCATGAATGAATAGGTCAAAGAGAAACTGCTCGTTCCACGAACCGAAATGGCGACAATATGGGGAGCTTGGTCAACACCACCTAGACAGAAGGCCTCCACACGCGTCATCATAGTCAGATCGATCGAGGCGAGATATTGGGCACGAGTGCTGCGTCAGTTTTCGGCTGCGGCTCGTGGCCAATCAGCGCGTCGAAGGTCGGGCTCGGGTCCAATAGCCGACCGAGCGCGATCCGACTGTGATGACGTTTCATAGAAGAGGAAACCATGCGGAGGCCTTCTGTCTAGGTGGTGTTGGCTTGGTGCTCTCACAGGATCCAGCGACATTACACAGAACTTAGAGGATGCGCGCTAAACAGCAAGGCCGCAAACATTGACCACTAACGTGACGTCCGTGCAAGCCATGTGCGCGCTGCGCGAGGCAGTTAGCGCGAACGTAGCAGCGGCGTTTCCTCGCGTATTATGCTCATACATGGCACCGACGAGCAGCAGATTTGAATTCTTATGTTTGTGTCTTAGATAAGAAGTTGAAACATAGACTAATAGTTGGATTGTAAACTTTTAATTCAAAAATAAATAGAATAAAGTGTGGCGTACGCTCGTTCATGCAAACTACGTCGTGCTGTGTAACGGTAACAAAAAACGTTGTACTTTTTTTAATCAAGTGACACGGGTTAAGCCAAAAGCATTTTAACAAGGAACGTGAGTACCTGAAAATGAATGAGTGTCTGATGTCTTCTTTCGTATTATCCGCAGACGGGACCAGGGTGTATGCGGCCAAGCCCGGTACGCTGAAGAGTCCTCCTAGTCCACCGAGTGAAACGCGAACATCCACCAAGTCTCCCGTGTTCGCGGACTCTCCAGACCCTTCCTGCGACGCTTACGGCGTCTGCTACGACGGTAAGAAAAAAAAAAAAAAAAGTCCTCCGCATGAAGTGAAGCGCTCTAAATTAACCGAATATTGAACGACTGAAGCGTGCTCGCTGACAACTTAAGAATCTCAAGGTGTGACAAGTTCTGATCATATTATTATCGCTGCGCAGCCCATGAGGTTGCGTCGCAGTGATTATATATAATCCTCTACCGTCTCGCGAATCACGTACAATCGTAAAATACCGAATGTTTTGGACGAAAGGGAATCGTGTTTTTTGCATCACATCATTAGTCTGCGCGTCGTCGAAAGCCAAGGCTGCGTGATTGTGAAGCCAGTGGTTGGGGATCTTGGAATAAGGTGTTAAAGTTTAAGGTCCTGCCGTTATGTAATTAAAAAAAAAAAAAGTTATAAATGATTTTCGAGACTCTCATTGAGAAAATGGCGGCCAACAAATCCCGCGATTACGTGACGATGAATGGCGTTCATCACCGGGAACGGGGTCCCATTTTCTTATTTTAAAATTTCTGAAACTGGCTTTTGAATCAGATTACGCAAAATTTTGGTACCTCAGCATTTCCTCCCGACTTCTGTCGCTACATTGGGGCGGAGAAATAAGTTTCGGCGAAGCGTAATTTGTTTTTGCGGCGTGAAAAAAAATAAACACGGTTCTCATTTCTTTCGGACACCCGGTATAGACAACGCCTACATTGTAAATTATAGCCTGGCGTAGTGTTTTTTGTCATCCTGCTGTGATCTTGCAAGCGACAGATTCCTGTTTAGCGAAAGCTCATCGCCATACTACGTGCTCAGGTGCAGTGCATACATATATTCCGTGTCCGTAGCTGTGTGCAGTGCAGGAGGCGAAGGCAAAACCAAGCGAAGAGAGAAAGAGCGAGCACTTTGAAGGCGGGAGGAATGGAGGGAAATGGAAGAGCCTCCTCCCCAGCGTTCCTATGGCTTGCCCTTTCTCTCCTCGCCTGGCGTTGCCTTCGCCTGTACTGCACGCAACTAGTGACACGGAGTTTAGACGTCCTGTTGCTCCTGCGTTTCGAACAGTGACACTGGCCAGAAAAATCAGCAATTGTTGTTAAGCCATATACGACGTTGCGCAAACTCATGTTACCCGAAGAAGATGCTGGTGGAAGAACAACATTGGTCTAAAATATTTGATTCTGCGTTAGTTGCTTTGCCTACGGTTTTTCGAAGGCGCAGTAAATGCGTGTAAATAAGAACTGGCGTCTACGAGAACAAACTGCAAAGGCTCCATGAGCCCGCTGGTTAGATATTGTCAAGTGAATTGAATTACGTAACCAGAAGGGGCGCCATCTAACCGAAATGATGAAGTTTATCCTTATTAAAAAAGTAAAAGACTAAAATGTGTGAACCATGATTGTTATTGGCACGTCTCGTTGTTAGATCTGGTCGAGACAGATTGGAAGTCCCTAGATAAAGCAAGTGCGTTCACCTGTCAATACTGTCAATAACCTTAATTAAAGGTGATCTAAAACTAGAACAAATATAATCTTTTGTTTTTGTTATGTTCCTTGGAGAGACATAAACAAATTATAAATGTAACCACAGTAATTTTAACTATCAAAGGTCACGCGTCCGCTGTTGGTAGACCTCGTGTGTACGCACTCGCTTTCAACATGCAGGCGTATAAAATTTCATCGTTGAGCGTCTTATGACCGGTGACGTCTTGTTCTCGGCACGCCTCCTTTTCCCCTTTTAGCATAAGAGGAAAACAATGGCATACGCGGAAACGAGAGGATGCCATCTTTGAACCACAACCTTCACAACGAAATTCCTGCCGAGTTTCCCCTCAACCGCCAGTGTTCGAACGTTCGTTGCTGGTACCGCCACGGTTCCTTCCGATTACGTTCCTGTCTGCTGTAGTTGAACGGAAATCACGCTTCGAGGCACCCAAGCGGGGCAAACTACCAGTGTCTTGCGCAGCGTCCGCAAATCGCCCTCCGCGACGACGGAAGGGAGCCCTCGGCAGTGCACACAGACACACACAGACAGCGTCGCCGTAGAGTTAGCCAACCATCCATCATGACGCGCCGAACGAGCCGGGCAGGGGGGACACACGGAAGCATGCTACAAAGCCAAGGTGTTTATGCGCTTGACCGACATCGTATTGGAGGGCAGTGGCGCGTCGCCAGCGGCTGCTCCCGTCGAGACCGTCCCGGAAACGAAAATGCCGATGCCGCCACCCGGTGCGCCGAGGCAACACCGCCAGGGGCGACGCGTTGGGAGAGAGACACCGGGGGACGTGCATACGCTAACGGTCGCCTATTCTCTCCGCCGTCAGGACGCGTCGTGGAGAAAGGTGAAACCCGCCGACCCTAACGGCACCCATTGTGTCCGCTCTGGTCGGGGCTTCCCATGGCGCATGCATGTTCCTACTAATGGCGCCCTTGCGTGATCGTCTCCCGAGGGAGACGAACCGACCGACTGCAGTTGGAGTAGACTGCTTCTTCCGCTATTATTCTTTTAATTTACGCGATGGGTGCCCTTACCATCGCCGAAGTCACGGTCGCATGCTGCGCGAGTAGTAGTAATATACGATACTCCGTTTCACCGTAACTGGGCAAGAAGCGAACGCTACGGCTTCTCCTAGCCAATCCAAGCGACGGAGGCGAAGCACGTCACAGCCCTTACCTAAGGTACAGGGGTGAGAGCGTAACCTGAGCTTTTGTAAGAGAGGGGAAAGAGGAACCTCACTCTTACCCCGGGCCCTCTTTTGCGTACTCAGTCGTCGCTTTTGTCCCCTCGGATATTAGCTCGTCACTAAATTATATTCGTACAAAAGCGGCTTTTCTCTCTCTGTGTGACATCGACAGCAGTGCGCTGAAGCGGTAGAGTATAGTCACGTGTCTCCCTCCGACGCGCTGATTGGCTCACTGGGACCGTAGCCTTGGCCGTTTGCCAAGTCGCGATGAGACGAAGCGTAACTCTACTGCGGGTGGGCGACGGCGTTATGGACGGGCTGCTGAGGGTGCAGCTTCCGGTCTAATGTGCTACTGCACGAACGCGTTCGTTGCGTCACGTTTTGTGTAATCCCTCTCGTGCGTTCCTCGTCCCGCCCACGGAGAGGACAGGCGCGTGTCCCGCTTTTCTTTACTGCACCGTGCACGTGGGATTCGGAGTTAACACGGTTTTGGCCGTGGAGGTCGCGGAGGTCACTTCTTATGTGCCGGAGGATTCTCTGGGCGGGAGCGCGTGGGAAGGAAGCGCCGGGCATTAACGATAGCTTACGGTGATTATCGGGTATACCCTGGAACGGATCTGCGCTGGAAAACTGAGAGGGACCTTTTACATGCTCACTGGAAAATGTTATACTCTCAATGGGGGGGGGAGGGGCTGAGCTTTGTCCTAAGGCTAACATTCCATAGTCTGCTATTGAACACCCTAACATTGGGTGCTGATGATCCTAGAACCATCTTAATGTTTTTTTGTGTTTTTTTTCAAGAGCAACAAGTTTACAAGCAACACCCATTACTAAAACGATAGATACAAACGCAATGAAGCACGGATGCGACCAAAATTGTAATATAATCACTGCTCAACGACCCTATGCATATACTAGACGATTGAAAAGAACTCATTGCGCCTGTGACCGTTTCAGTTATTAATAAGGCAACAAATAGGTTGTTTTTCCTCATCAATATTTAATACAACGTATAATTTGTCCAGGTTTAAGCAATGTATCTATTTGCAAAAAGAGCATTGGGTCATGCAAGGCAACAACAACAACAACAACAACAACAATAATAATAATAATAATAATAATAATAATAATAATAATAATAATAATAATAATATTTTATTTATTTTGTGCCCCATACGAACTGTGAGGATTTAACTTGGTGGCATATAAATTGAGAAAAAAAAAAAAAGACTCATTGAGACACTGTCCTAGGCACGTAGCATATCAAGATCATGCTTGAAAGAAGCAAAGGCACGAAAAATATTGAACGAACGCTACGTCGGTCACTGAAATTGGCATGCGAATTGACGGTGACAGTGTGTTCTTCGAGGGCGGATATAATAAAGAGTTTTTTGTACAGGCGCGAGCAGGCACGATATTTTATTTTTACACTTTGTGTAAAAATAAAATATTTCGCGAAAGTCTACGCGTGAAAAAATTTTCTAAGCTGAAAGTGTTAAGAGTATATCGTAATCATAATAACACGTTTTATTAAAATGCCTGTCGTACATAATGCGAACAAAACGTTTCTGTACAGATTCGATTCGTGAGGTATCAGGGGCCGTCAGCGAGTTCCATATCTCACTACCAGATTCAAGTTTAGCACATACTAGACAAGAAAAAGAGCGAACAATGAATACAAAGTTCTTAAAGTCACGAGACAAACGAGATAACAAACCCAGCATTCGCATGGAAGAAGAGACAATCTGCGTCACATGATAAGAAAAAGAAAGTGTGGCATCAAAGAAGGTCCCAAGGTCACGAACCACAGTAACTCGTGCGATAGTGGCAGACTGGAGTATATACGTAAGTTTAAGATAATATATCGCATTTCAAAACATTCAGAGAACTTTTGTTTTGCTGGGATTAAGATGCAAAACATTTTCAAAGCACCACTCAGATATACGTAGTATATCGGCTTGTAAAAGACTGCAGTCGCAGGATGACCGCACATTCATAAAGATCTTCAAGCCTTCAGCAAACATGAAATGTGAATTTCGTACGCACAATTCGATGTCGTTTACGAAGACGAGAAATAGGAGAGGCCCCAAGTTCGATCCTTGAGAGACCCCAGATGTTGCTATAAAAATACCAGACTAGTTGTCCGAAATCCCAACAATGCTCTGACGTTCAGTCAAATACCTTTTGAACCAACACAAAAGTCCCGGTGATACTCCAAACAAGGATAATTTTAAAAAATCATGGTTAACTTTGTCAAAAGCCTTAGTCATGTCGAAATGCACAGTATCGACCTGACAACGAGAATGAACTATATGAATACATTCAAGAAACGATCGGAGATTCGTTTCCACAGAGCAACCTATTAAAAAGCCGTGTTGTAAACTGCTAAATTTCTGTCGAAAGCAAGAGGAAATAAGCGAGTCAATAATCATCTCAAAAACCTTTCAAAAAGCACACAATAAAGATATAGGTCTGTAGTTGTTTACCTTTTACACATCGCTGCTTTTGTGCATCGGAACAGCATCGGAACACCACGAAACTGGAAAAATGTCAGTTTTAAAAGAGAAGTTAAATATGTGTTCTGAAAGAAGAGCTATAGCATTCGCACAATTCTTTGCAGTAATGTTTGGTATCATATCTATCCCAACGGACAACTTTGACTTTAGTTTCATTATTGCTTTTAAAATATCACTTGTGTCAACACGACTGATCGCCAAAGAATCCTGGCAACCTAGATTGTTAACATTGACACTACCTGAAACACAACCATTTCGTCGTTTACCCTGAGACTGGGTTTTTTTTTTTAGAAGAGCAGAAGTAACAGAAAAAACAGACAGGTTTTTCTGTTACTTCTGCTCTTCTAAAAAAAAACCCAGTCTCAGGGTAAACGACGAAATGGTTGACTTCCACCAGCTAGCCTGTGCCTTGACTCTTTTCTCGTTACCTGAAACACCCTTGAAAAGTAGCGCTCTTGAAAATGGAGTTCGAAAAGTTTCGCGACTTATAAAGGAGAAGACATATGTATCCTGTGTTCGTCCTAAATATATATTATTCTTTGTTTAACGGGTGTGCTGCATGACAAATTTCTATAACTAGTGTGGTTTTCGGTTCAAAACCTTTTTCAGTTTTAGCTTTATAATCCCGTTTGTCCCGTATAAACAATCTTTTTTACGAGTGTTTGATAGATACCGAATTTAGTGTAACATAATTCCAAACCACTCTGGTGATACAATTTGTGGAAGTGTCTTTTTTTATGCATTTAGTGTATCAATTCTTCAGAAAACCAAGATAGACACCTTGAGTACCTCAAGTTTCGCTTCGGAATAGACATGTCCATTCCATTCCGAATAATATGAGTACAGGTGTCTTTTGCAGTGTCTATATTTTCGTTATTTAATACTGCCGACCAGTCAAAATCTCTTAGAAGCCTGTATATCCTTAAGTAATCGCCGGCACGGTAATTGTATCTGGGATAAAACGGAGGATGGAAAACATCTGGACGTACTAGGATGTCGCTGACAGACTCAATGCATTTTCTAGGGCTGTTTAATAGAAAAATATCAATAATGTTTGCCAGCTTATTGTGCTCGCAAAGTCCGTTAAACTGGATAAAATAATGTGAAATAAGTCGCTTTCTTAGTTGTTTGTGAGTTTCGTCTGGTAGTGTTAGATGAACAGTCTATACCAGGGAGATTACAATCACCATAATTATGAACGCGGTAGTTTGAAAGATCGGTGTTCTTTTCAAGGTTTCTAAAGTGGTCAATAAAAATGTTTTGGTCAAAAAGAGGAGGAAAATAGTAGTTTCCAATGAGATAGCTAAAACCGTCACTTGATAAAACTTTAATCCAGACACATTCCTTATAAGTTTCTTGGTCGTTCCTTCGGCAAGACGCCACTGACTCGTCAATCGCGCCGCCAAATTTCTGGCCTTTCGCAACGTAATCTCTGTCTCCGATTTATAATGTAGGAAGAGGGAAAATACAAGGTACTAGATCTCTGTCCTAAAAGCCAAGTTTCAGTTAAACAGATTAAATTGTAACAGTTAGCAACAACGTTTGACATGAGTTCATTAGCTTTTGTCCGGAAACCACGAACATTCTCATAATTTTTTTAAAGAACGCAAGCCAATAACGATTCGACGTTGTCGCTAAGACAACCCCCGCTAAATCTGTTTGATGATGTACATTGTAATTTCCCCGCACTGCACCGCGTCACTTTTTTCCATCCCCTTTCTACACCCTTTAACACCTGACGAATGTTCTGGAAGACAGAACTTTACAATTATAAAGGTGTATTACTCAAAATAAGGGTGCTGAAAAGGCGTAGCCATGGATGGAAGTCTCTGGAACACTCACAGTTCCAAAAATGAGAGGCACTGAGTTGAGTACTCCACAAACAGGTAAAACAATTTTTAAAGTAAGGATAAAAACACTTAGAAACAAGGATAGACAGCACAGTTCTTTCCTTGTCTCTTAAGTGTTTTTGTCCCTACGTGCCCCTAAGTGTCCCAAAGTGCTCTGTCCTTGTCCCTACGTGTTCGTATTCTTTCTTTGATTCTTGTATTTTCCCCAAACCGCTCTTTCTTCCTTGTAAGCAGGCAATGATCCCTCCCATTTGCGACGCAGTGTCAATCCAGTGCACGGACGCCAAGATCGTGGTGTACGTAAAGACGAGCCGTCCGTTCCACGGCCGCATCTACGCCATGGGCAGGAGCGAGACGTGCAACACGAGCGTCCGCAACAGCCAGGCCTTTCGGCTGGACCTGTCGCTCACGGGGCAGGACTGCAACACACAGTCCATGGTGAGTGGGGCCCAGACTTGAACCGTCTTGAAGCATATAGAACGCTTTTTTAACTCCCCGAATCCCAGAAACCTGTCCGCCCGTCGACCACTCCGTTTCTATAGGTGTCATGTTTTTCAACACGCAAGTCGACGCGCAGGTGTGGTACATGGAGAAAAAGAAAAGAAAGACTAAACAACCGACGGAACGACGACCCTGCAGTCTTGCAACAGTGTGCCTACATTTCAGAGCGTTTCCAACTGCTCGGTCGGGGTCACGTGGCTTATGGGCCGCGTTTAGAATACGAACTGCGAGGACGTGACGAGAGCGTCACGATCGTCTGAAAACGTCTCCGCCTCTCCGTCCGCTTTCCTCCTCGTAACGCAACTACGCAACGCATGCGCAGTCGCGATCAATCTGTCCACGAGGCGTCCGCTATTAAATTGCAAACGTTCTCCAAAGTTGAAGTTGTTCCCTCTCTTATATCCAGGCTCTCAGGCACTGCATGCACTGTAGATATATATGGTCAGACTGTTACGCTCCTAAGGTAATTCAATGAAAAATATAAATATCGGAATAGCTCGTAGAGTCGATTTTTGCGATTGATGAAGAGCTTTGCTTTTTAGATATCAACATATTTTCAGTCTTTTGCCGGGTTCCAGTGGCGTAGCCAGAAATATATTTTTTGGGGGTGACCGACGGGGCTGGGATGTCCTGCCCATGGGGGGATCGGTGGCCGAGTGGGCTAGCGCACACCAGCTCGGAGCACGTGGAGCGAAAGCTGGCACTGCAGGACCCAGAGATCCTGGGTTCAATCCCCACCCCTGCCCGTTTCGATCTGGATGAGCATCGTACCTTCGTGCGGTCCTATATCGCTACAGCGTGGTGCACGTTAAATACCCTAGGCTAGCGGTTGTGCTGCACTGGGTAAATTGCTCATCTACAGCGTGTGACTCGACGCAACTTTGAAATGGCTGACCAACTACACGCTGTAAAAATATCCACACAACCCTCCCCCCCCCCCCCCACACACACACACACAATTATTAGTCCTGTTCATGACGTGGGGTGTGGATCTCCTCCGTAAACTGCAGTGATTAGCTCTTCGACTGCTATTGGGTGAAGTAGACGAACGGGAATTTTAAGAACGTACAAGGTATGTTCCGAAAGCCGCTTCTATTCCCAGTGTGAACTATCTTTCACGCCGAAGTTGGTTATATCTCAAACGATGGGCTGAAAAATAAACAAAACATTTTTTTTTTTTGTCTGTGCAGAGCGCACGTCCGCGAGAAGGGGGAAGCTGTCGTAACGAAGTCCAAACGCTTCCGTTTCTTTTCCGAAACCTACGCCCGAGACCTCCCACGAGAATCGTCCAAGCAGGGTCTCTGCTGGCCGCGCCTCATTATGCGAGCCGCCTCGCATTGTATAGCACGGCGATGGCTTCATTGAAGGGGAGGGACACGCGTTCGATTCCCGGCAATTTGCGAACAAAAGCCCTCCGCCGTCACGACAACCTCGCCGCCGGTTTGCAGCGCCATTATGCTTCGCGTCCCGTCAGGCTTATTCTCACTGTAGAGACACGACTGACCCAGATGCCGTCATTGTATCACGTTGTCCCGAGTATGCTTCGACAAATCGGTTCGCACTTCCTGTCCGGACTACTATAATCGGTGCTCGTCAAACAAGCCGAGACCGAAGTTTACGGAGCACGACTATTGGACTCTCGCGACAATAACGCACCGCTTTTGGCGCCCAAGTTCAATCGGTGCGTTCCGCGAAATTGCGGCTCCAATTTTGTATTTGACGAATCTAGGGCCCCTTGTAAGAAAAGAAGAAAAAAAAAAACATGTTCTGCGCATTGTTTGTACGTTGCGCGCAGTTCTTACAAGGTTCGGTTGTCGGGCGAAGAAACGATGCCTTCGGCATTTGAAACGCGTACTTCCTACTAAAATAGCATATAGCTAATATATAGAATGCATCTTAATTTATCACATAAATGCGGAATTAATACCCCTCCACAAAAAGCCCAATCTTCTTTTTTTTTTTCGCTATACGTTTTTTTTATCAGATTACAAATGTAGCGGCAAGTAACAGAGCATAGAACGAAATTGGATGGCGACTCCTCGGTCAATGTATTGCTACTTTCTTCGTATAATTACCTATGATAGCTTCACCACAAATTAGACGAATTTTGTAGTGACCCAGATGAACGAGGCGGTAAGTTTTGTCTCACCGATTCGAGGTCGAGATCCAAGAGGTCACTTCCGATCGTGTAATCCGGAAGCCACCTTTGGTCATGTTATCAATGAAGTGAACGGAGATAAACTGCCAGGGCGATGGAAGACACAGCGTTCAAATGAAAGACAATGCACAATGCTATAAAAAGAGAAAAAAATAATCTCGAATGACTGTTTTATTGTCGCGGCACAGTTAATGGTTCTCAAACTCGCTTCAATTCAGCATCGAGCACTATCGGAGGACACATGCTTAGGGTTTAAAAAGACGTTCGACAAATATCACACGAACACAACAACGTGTAAATGCATTCTCTATTGAATGGTTAATGGATAGACTGTTGTTGAATTGTTCGTCGCTCATACTATCAACGTATGATTTCTTAATTTGTAGTATGGTATTGTATTAAGACACATGGACGGTCCGTGAGGGCTTCTGACAAAAGCTCCATTAAAAAGAGTAGACCCATTATGTTTTCCTCTTAGTACTTTTTGTTCAGCTGGAAGTCAGTTCTCAGGGTCACGAGGTACCGATTTCCGATCATTCCAGGGCGGCGTCTACACGAACACTGTGGTGCTTCAGCATCACAACGTGGTTCTGACGAAGGCCGACAAGGTGTACAACGTGCGGTGCACGTACGAGACGTCCTCCAAGAACATCTCATTCGGAATGATGCCAGTCAGGTATGTCTTCAGGTGTAGCTTTAGCACGTCCACCAGTTCTGGTCTAGCGTACAAGCCTTTGACGCGGGTGTGGCGGTAACCGGAGCAGTGATCTCGATTTCAGGGACCCGGACACCACCCAGATCACGGCGTCACCCGAGGCCCCGCTGCCAAAGATCATCATCTTCGGAGTCGATGGAAGGGAAGCCTCGACAGTGCGAATCGGCGACAGGCTCACCTTCAGGATCGAGATTCCAGAAACCAGTAAGAACCTCTGCAACCTTTTAAAGCTCAGGTCTAAACATGCTTATAAACCATGAAGAAACCAATAAGAGACGCCATGCAAGGATACTGACCGTATGAAGTCTATAGTGGTTCAAACACGCTTACAAACCATGCAGAAACCAGCAAGAAATTTCGGCAAGAACGTTGACCTTATGGAGTTATGTACTCCACACAGGGTTACAAACCCAGAGTATCTTCGTTGTGCACGAAGACGAAGTGCGAAGTGAACATCCTCGAACATTGGGTACACATAATTTTAGGTGCTATTCTCCAGCGAATGATTGCTCGTCGTGTACGTTGTCCTGAATGCCTTTGTAGTTTTGCCTTTTGAGTAGTATTTAGCACACTACAACGTTTCGGACTACTGAATGTCGACTCAGTTAAGCAGATGTGCACGATCTACGTAAGCGATGTGCGCTGGTTTTAATGTTTCAAAACCAGTCATATGAGCCCTTTTGCGAAGCCTTCGGAACCGTTTTAATTAAACGTCTCATAGCACAACAGCCATTTGGCTGTCAGGCAGTGCACGATTAATTACTTGCGCTATTTTTTGTATTATTGTTCTAGTAACACATAGAAGTTTAAAGTCACATCTTTCACAAGTAAATCGACACAAAACCACTGTTACAATATTATATTCAAACTTTACACGTAACATTTCGTCACGCTAACCCTAAAGCCACTTTCCCTCTTCCAATTTCTTATTTTCCCTATTCCGCACACTTTACAAACAAACATAAAGCAAATAGAAAGCGAAACACCTTTGAGCTTTGCTCAGTCCAATAGACTAACCTGAATTTTTATATAACTTATTGACAATATAGAATCACACCAAAAGTTATAAGTGGCATCGGACTTGAGCTTGGATGCTGAGATATTCAAAGTAGCTCAAACCCGTTTCAGAGTTCTCCAATGTAAAGCTTTAAGTGCGTTTGTGTATACATATAAAAAGTAACTTCAGATGCTATCATATAATTGCCTCACGGAGGAAAAGAGTTAATCCTTGGGTGCTCTTCATATGTGTAATGAATATTGCAAAAACGTGATGCCATTAGTATCACTGGTCCCGGGACTAATGGTGTTTCGAAGCACTTAACGGATTTTCCCACTGCAGCGCCGTACGGGATCTTCGCTCGGAGTTGTATCGCCATGGCCAAGGACGCCAGGAGCACCTTCGAGATCATCGATGAGAGGGGGTGAGCAACCGGAACACGTTTTCGCGATAAATCGCGACCGACAAGGGATTCCGCCTCCTCTCACGAGCGGCTCGCTTTAAAAAAATAAATATATAAATCTCCTTACCTTGTTTCATTTCAGCTGCCCCGTGGACCCGACAATCTTCCCCGGATTCCTCCAGATCGACAGCAGCCTGCAGAGCTCCTACGAGGCTTTCAGGTTCACGGAATCGTACGGTGTCATCTTCCAGTGCAACGTCAAGTACTGCGTCGGGAGATGCGAACCCGTAAGTACAATGGACCTTTTCCACATATCGACGGCACCAGGCGGTGGCTGCACGAACTAAAAATCGAGGAAGTGACCTACCTGCGCTACCAATCGATACCGGGAGCTACGCTACCAGTTTCTTCGCACTCCGAGCTGCGGCGCCTGCCCAACGCGAGCTTAAAGATGGGCATCCGTGGCGTCCACCCAATCGTTGTTTTTCCTTCCTTTCACTTTCTTTTTTTGTGTAACCCAATTATATATATGCTGCAATTACCTGTTCTACTCGCTTATTCACAGGCTCATTCCGAATTTCCTCGATTTTTCGTTTCGACTTCCGCCGCTTGGCATCGGGCGCTCGCGCGTGCGCAGAACGCTTCTCGGAAAACGTCCATTGTCCGTTTCGTGTCGACCTGAATGGGCTCCGCACGAAGCAGCAGACATGAGTTATGACTAACCTTTCGTGTGCCTTTAATGAGACCGGCTCATTCGGTAGTTTCATTAGTGTTGTCAGTGCGCTGCGAGTAACCTGACACTTCCACGATATCTCTTAATAGCAGCGGCGATCAGTCTTTTTCTTTTTTGTCAATGAGAGGTTTTGGAACGTTCAGTATTAAGTATATACTATTAAATATATGTTTAATAATATAAAATAAAATAAAGGAGGCTCAGGCAGTGAAGTCGCGGTTTTTGACGGAAGCAGCTGCTTTTGGCGATAACTGAATTTTTTTATAACACGCATGGAGGCAGAAGCAAGGCGATGCTTTCGGAGTTCCATGCTATGGCTCTCAAGTCGCCGAATTGCAGGAGCTACTAATTATGTTTTTTTGTTTTTTTTTTTTATCATTGGCATATTTTTTACGTGAAAGCTCGGTAATCGTATGTAGTTGCACAAAGCCAATGCGCGTTTAACGTGGACAGTGGCTCGAGTGATCTACGCTCGGAGCGTGCACGCTTAGCTAATTTAAAAGAGTCTCGAACAGCCAATTAATTATCGCGATGAACTACGTAATAGCTATATTTTCCTGAGCATCCCAGCGAAGTTTTTCGATATTGTTTGTAATAAAAAAAAAACAAAAAAACATTGAATTTCAGATTCTGCGGCAGTTATGAGAGACAAAATGAAAATAAGCGAAAATGAAAGAAAGGAATTTGCCGCAACTGCGGATGAACTGGTCAGTTTTAGGTGTTATTCTCCTTCCGACAGTGTCTGCTGTGGAGAAGCATGGACATTGGAGAACGAACAAACTTGGTCATCCGCGCAGGCTTCGCGCTGAGCATTATTAGGAGGACTTTGGCGGAACTGTGAAGAAACTACAACAAAAGAAGATGGGAAGGAAGAAAGGCACCCCGCCGAAATGACCGATGTTTTAACTGACACGCGCTAAGTTTTTTTCTGGATTATAATTTATGACCCAAGTCCCGCGTATAAAGCAAATGCCCCACTCATGTATACGGCGTTCAGATTTACGTCACACGCCTGGTATGCATGTTTTACAATTTCTAACTTTGCCGATAGTCATATTCAAACTCTACGCATGGGGCCAGTAGAGGTAGGAGGGTGGACTAAGGTGGCTGGGATCACCGGAGGGGAGGAGGGGGGTCAAAATGCAAATTTATATTATAGGGTCTGCTGGATTTCGGGGGGTAAGTCTCTCTCCTGGCTATGCCAATGGCTGGGGCGTGCTATCCAGTGACTTTAGGGCGTACTGTTTCTCCTTCCTGAAAGTTAGATGCCCCAAAGTTTAATATTAAATGCGTAGCACGTACAGAGTCAACGCTTAGCGCTTTTGCATCCGATGCATGTAGCCTCGATGGTAACGTCATGCTGGCGACGTCACGGTGTTTACGTGACGTCATCTGCATTTTAAGAGATACATTATGACGTAAGCACGTCCGCATCTTGATGACGTTACAGTGTTCACGTGGCGTCATCAGCGTGACGGTAGTCACCTGACACTATGACGTCACTGAGTATGACGTCATGATGTGACGCGACTTAAACCGTGACGTCAGGTAATGCCATAATGTAACAGAGGATCTTTAAAGGCTATGCATTTAGAACACTTTTAAAACACACCGCAGAGACAGCCGATTTTTTTATGGAAGTTATTCTTTCCTCAGGTCCTTTCCCATATCGGGTATCGCGGCAACCTTCCATCCCGCCTCTTTCTCCTTTCTCCCGAAGGTGGTATGCACACATGGCAGGGAGAGCATCGATTCCTGGGGACGTCGGCGACGGGCGGCGAGCCGCTCTCAAAGGACGACACAAGAGATGACGCTGAGCCAGGAGATCCTGGTTCTCGACATCGGAGATGAGCCTGCAGCGAGGTCCATGACCGAGAAACCCCCAGCGGTCAACGGTCAGTTCGACCAACTCAAATGTGTCTTTGATTTTATCTGGACATAATCTTGTCTGTCAAACCCAGGAAAAGACGTACTGTGAGCTCAGACCAAAACAGTCTGCAACGGCCGCGGGGACCGATCTGAATTTCTAGAACAAAGTTTACCAATAGGGTTTTTTAAAACGACCTTCTTCCGAGTAAAATAGACCCGGGAATAAAAAGTCTCGGATAAAATGATCCCGCGTGATATTGTTAAAAAATGGTCCCGGATAAGGTGGCTTCAAGTGCAAATCTGGATAAAATGGCCCTATATACAGCCCCCCCCCCCCCTTTTCTTTTTATTTTTTTTAGGGGTTCCTACTTAGCAATTCTAATTTAACGTCCGTTCAATGTGCTTTCAAAAAATAATAACGCGTATTATTTATTTATTTTAGCTAATATATAATACAAATCTGTCTTTCACAAGAGTCTGCAAAATCTCATTTTACCGTTTAGGTGGCTTTAAAGAAGAAATAGTGTGGTACGGCGACCGACCTCGAGCGTTACTGGGAGTACTGTCACAAAAATTGTCACAATTCGACAGTAATTTTTTTTATTTTAATTTTATTTACTGAAGTGTCAAATTAGCGCACTAGAGGTGCAAGAAAACGCCTCGGGGCACTCAACACATGAGCGTACTTCGATAGAGTATTCCGAAATAAACGTGCAGCCCTCTAAAAAAAATTGTTTATATTGTTCTCCTCAGAGCACGAGGATTAATGCCAATAATTGACTACGGTGTTGTAGAGCCAATTACAAGTTTGGGGATACGTGTAACGAAAGAAAAATTGATCAGGAATGGTCTGTGGCATTGAATGTATCGTTTCAAATTAAAAGAAGTGTCACGCGTAGTGTTGCATCGCAGTTTCGCTTCGCAGATGACGTTTTCAGGGATAATTATCCCCACGGTTTCCTCTCTAAAATCTGCGTAGATGGGCCAGTGGATGCATTGCACATTGCAAAGGGTATAAAGCGGCGAAAAAACACGGACCGAGACACGAAGACAACGACACAAGGTGCACTCTCAACTGAAGTTTATTCTAAAAAGTACACGCTATTATACTCAATGCGAGAACGCACAGTCATCAATCAATCCATAGGCGGAAAGCTTTCAATTTCAAAGGGGGGGGGGGGGGGGGGGGAGAAGCCCCCCCCCCCCCCCTCCCCCGGAAAGACGCCTTACCAGGTTACAAATGCGAACAGGATAGCTGGGAGAGAATTTTACAGGGACAGAGGAAGGAACTGAACAGGACGAGCGGTTTCGTCTAGCGATTCATTCTTCGAAATAAATCATTTCGCAGTGACACGTGGTGATGAGAATCAAGCTCTATAGATACTGGAGCAGCCGAATAAATAAACGAGAATACCTAATTTTGCTTTGTCCCCTTGTCAGTTTTGGTCGCGAACATTACTCTATGCATATATCTCCGTCCTAGAACAAAAGTAGCAATTACTATAGTTTTGTTTGTGACATTGTTGGAACAGTATTAAGATGCAAGCTCCCACCTTACTCCTTGGTGTCTCGAATGTCGAAGTTGAAGGAAACGAAGACAGTGAGAGTATTGAAGACAGAAAGGAGGATTGTTTAAACAAAACAAAATAATGCAAGGCTTGTTTAATGCTCGTTTAACTCCGCCACCCCCCCCCCCCCCCCCCCCAAAAAAAAAAAAAAAACAAAAAAAAAACAACAACAACAACAACGAAAAAACAACAACATTCTTGCTTGTTTTTCTCATCACCCCCTCGTCATGTTGAGGCAACACCCAAGCAGAGAGCTACCGTGGAGCCAGGCTGGCGCTCGGTGGGTAACCCGGAGGACAGGCGACTCTCGAGTCCGCGGTCGTCGGTCGCTGACGCTTCTTCGCTTTGTCGGTCGTGTCTGATGGCGCCTTCGAAATTTGCCGCCATAGAACAACAACACATCGCCGACAACACATAAATGTTCTTTTGTCTTTTATCTATGGCCTTTTTTTTCTTTTTTAACGAGTTGTCGGAGGCATTCTTTAAAACGCCTTTGAGCGTCAAAAAAGGCATTTCGCTGCTGTCACTAGAGCGAGTGTGCGAGCCACTTCTCTTTTTCACTAGTCCCTTCGTTTTGGTCTGCTTTCTTTAAGCTTCCAACGCGCGAGTTCTTTTTTAACTTTTCTCTGTATTTATTTCCTGCCGTCTGCAGGCTTGTTTGCTTTTTTATTGCTATATTTCTTTTCGCCTGGAATTGAGTATTTTAAGGCGTTAAAAGAAGATGGTACTTGCTTTTCCTAAGAGCTCGGGAGAGGGGATAGGACGGTGAGTTAGCGTGACAACCAAGGACACAAGGCTCGTCGTAACGTAACGTAAGGAGTTACGTAAGACGTAAAGGAGAGACGGGAGTCCCACCTGGAAGCGACATTATCCTCCGCAACTCGAGATCGACCTAAAAGTGGTGCTGCTGTCGCGCTATCATCATCATCAAAGCGGGGATAGAAGCACGGCCAACCCATAGGCTCTTCACGTTCGCGCGCGAGACGGCGTAGATTCTTGCGTTTATTTTGTCGCATAGTATCGGTGGGAGAACAATCCTAGCGGGAAATGATGCGTTACTGTTCGGTGCTCCAGTAAAGATGGAATCGTGTAAACCAGCGTACGGCCTAAATTTAAATGATCGCTCGAGTGCATGCGTCGTCTGCTCCAGGCAGACGTCGGGAAGCATGGATCACCACGACAGATGCCTGTCTCCGGCCGAACTGCACTAGGTTAAAAATATGTTTCTTTTAAAATATATGTATCGGTTCACCAGCTGGGAATTCAACAAAACAATGAATTCCATCCCGGATAACATAATACTTGTACTGTGGCCTGTGAAATCGCAGATTCTATGCATTTTTTAAGTTGGTAACTTTTGCAGTAACATAAATATTTTGCATAAAGGGAAGTTAGTGCTGTATTGGAAATTACCGTGCTATTGAGTTCCTCTGCAGCCAGTGTTTCCCTTTACTGTGCCATAATGTGGGCAAGATTTTTTTTTTTAAAAACAATTCTATTACGTTGCGATGCGGAGAGAGTACCTCTCCTAGTTACGATCCGCAAACTGCACGTTGGCAGGACAGCTGAAACGAACTTTTCTACTATATATGCCGCGAGTGTAATAAACGAGTGTAACCGAGCAACGCAGCAACGTTCGTGTTATTAAATGCTTCGGTAATGTGGGTTCACCCGCTTCAATTTTCTTGGTGAGGGCCGCGGATGTCAAGAGGATAATATTATAAATTTGTGGCTAAATAATCTTTTATTCAAATAGACTCTGCAACTCCAACAAACGACCCGCATCACGACACAGACAGCATCGGCTGCAGTGACACTCTTTTACTGATAAGGGCTAGCAACCTTCGAGAGACTTTCCGATCAGCCTCCGCCCTCACCTAACGCATATCGGCACTGGGCAGTTCATCCGATTAACCTTCACATTATTCAAATAATGCTTCAATTGCGATTTTCTTTTTTGCCGTTTAATCGGTATCTTGTGCTGCAGCACAAGATACCGATTAAGGAAAAAAGCAAAAAATGTCTGCTTTAATATTTTTTGACGTCTTTATTTCTTTTATGACACAGGCTTGAACGGTAAACCACTTCAGCGTGCTTGTGATTGTCACCGAAGGTGACTATACTGGTTGAAATAATAACTTTAAAATTATTTCATTTCAAAAAGCTTCCCGTGTTCATTTTTCTGTAAGCGTCACAACGTGAAGTTTAAAATGGGAATGCAATACTACATTTATAACCTAGTAAAAAAAGTGGTTTTAACGTCTTTCATGCAATATCACCGGCGAAAAATCAACTAACGGATTTATCGATTGATTAGTCTCTTAAAGGGTAGCGATTAGTCAGGTTAATGTTTTAATTAAACCACAGCTCTAATCAACATTTAATGTTTTATGAAAGCTATGATTTGTGCGAGGTAGCAAAAATACCTGGGACTATGGAAGCTTCCCACTTAAACTCCCTTTGCTGAATTTCTGCGCATGTGAATGGATAAACACAACCTTCCTTAAGAAGAAACGACAACAAAAACATCAAGCATTGAACAAGGAGGGTCAAGCTCAGCCGGAAACGGGCTTGCGTCGTTCAGATCCAAGCTTCTGAACGTGCGCCCGTAGCAGACGACGCACGGCGGTATCCCCGCTTTCGCATGTTTATAATTTCGGCCACACGATGGCGACACGGTTTGATCTCGAGGCTAATAGAGTCATCACGAACCGAACCGACAGCCTCGCGTTATCAAAGGGTCACATGGTATGTCTTCACACGGCCATAAAAAAGGCGCGCTACACGGTAACGGTTCCCGAGATGTGCAGCATTCGGCGCCCCCCCCCCCCCCCCCCCCCTCCCCCCCATATTTAATTTCGGCAACAAATCTCTATTTAGAGGGTGTCAAATAACTTTAATACTTATCAAGTTAATTAGTGCAATACAGGTAATTATACAGCTAATTATCACATTTCATTCATACGGCGATACCCCACGGAATCCAGATTACACCAAAGGATTTTTTTTTATTATTTTTTCTTTATACACCAACTCATGTTTACAAACAAACCGTAGCGCCCCTAGCGGACGCCACCGGCGCCGCGCATGCGCGATGGGGGTGTGGGCAAAAAGCTCGCCGTCGCCCATAAACAAACCATTGGAACGCGATGTTGTCGGCGTCCGTGTGAGTCCCCCTGCCCTTTTTTGCGTTCGAATCGGTGATTCTACGTCTTCTTGGCGATGTCTGACTACTTGAGCGGCGTCACCGAAATTACCGAGGCTCGTTACACCGCAAAACTTCGCGTGAATAATGTGACATGTGGCGATTCATTCCGCGTGGACGCGGCAGTATGTACGCTACAGCCCGATTCGCGTGATGAGATTTCGTTCGCAATTTTCAGTCGCGACGCCGCTCGGGCTGCAAAAGCGTGAACCGTAGCTGAGATGGTCGACGTTGATACTGAAAATCGCAAGCA